TGGCGACCCTCATTATGTCATCAGGTCAGCGCACAGCCGCTGCTTGATAGATGCCCAGCTGTCACTTATCTGTCTGTAACACCTAATTGATCATGCCTTGCTTGGTGTGTCTCGACAAATTCGAGAATAAAATACTTATTTATTTATTTATTTACTATGAAGAATGCTTCGATGGAGCACAGATCATCCCTATTTCGTAATGGTCGTTGGTTGCACCAAAACCTTGTTTGGGCTCCTGTGCTTACGGATCACCACCTGGCGAAATTACCCCCAACTTGTGTCTTGACGCATTTTTGCGCGCCACAGCGCCATAATGTTCCTTGGTCTGACTATTACCTGACAATATGCTCACTCATATGAACTACACCTTTTTTTCATAACTTTCATTAAAACGAACTGTTATAACATTCCAAAGAAGCCATGCTTGTATGCATATTTGATCACGCCTTTACAGATGTGTCTCGTTCTACCGAGCATATACCATTTATTTATTTAGTTATACCCATATAGCGAGTATTTATTAGGTCATTTAAGTTGAATCGCTATCTCTTAATTTATATCGGCAATTTGGATTATTGGCTCTCGATTGATATCCAAGGGTTGCTGCGCGTGGTATGCATGTTGACAAGGTACTTACCTGTCTATTACCCACTACAGCGTTCATACTGGCTCCAGGAGACAGTTGCTCGTTGCTAGAGGGGTCGCGGTGCACGGTCTTTGTGACAGTGCTAGGCGCAAAGGGTGGTTAAATGCACTCAGTGTGGAGCTGACTTCGGTCCAACCACAACCTTGTTTTGCGCTTTATACCCCAACCACAGCGTGCTTGTGTTTGCCTGTGAAGGAGTGCCGACCGGCTCCGTTGATGTAATGTAGCTCCCATCCGCATGCATCCCGGTATTTTACCTTCGAGTTTACATTGGATATGGGGTTGTGGATGGAGCTGTGGGCGGTGCAGCGCAAACCACCAATGTTTCCTCTGTAGGCGAAGGTGTCCTGTGGCTGGCCTCAGTGACAGGCAACTGCTGATACGGATGCCGCCACCCAATACGAAGGCAGCTGTGTAGTTTGTGGTTATAAATGTGCCCTAGCTCTGTTTGTACTAGTCAGCAAAGTGAGCATAAGCGATTGATATCCGTGGGTTGGATTGCATTTCCCGGATATCCATGAGGCTGTTCTATTATTTTTTGACTAATCACATCCGCTACGCCGCAATGTTGAAAAGCCGATATTTTGGTTTTTATAAAAAGAATGCATACTATTTGCTTAAATAATGCAGCGCACACCTTTCAAAGCATGGTCGACCAAGTACTTGGAGGTTTAGGTTTTCTTCAAACTTACCTAGATGACATCTAATTCGTCGGCTCGGGATGAGCAGTACACTTGCAACAGGCTAGATTACTGCTCGGTCGTTTATCTCAACACGTGTTGACGACCAATGAAGAAGTGTTTGTTGGTTGTCCACTCAGTAAATAGCCTGGGTCGTCATAGCTCCTCTGCGGCCATAGTGTCAGTGCGGGCTATATTCCAAGCCATAATCGATTACACCGTGTCTGATGTTTTAACTATCATAGGCGTTTTGCTGAACCTGTTGAATTTTTAATGGCCGTTCATACTAAAATGCGCATGGCTGAGGTGACCATTCGCGAATCTTCTCCGAAGGAACCTCAGGAAATCCGAATTTTCTGCCGTAGCATGCGCGGCTTGTAAGTCGCTTGAAAACGCTATCGCCAAGATGGTTTCGGTAGCACAGCACGACCCGGCATCCCCACTGTCCATCAGTCCCGAGGCCTCGGACGTGGCAATCGGCGCTGCGTTGCTACAACGGGGAAGTGACAAGCGGCAGTAATTAGCGTCATTCTTCTAAAGCATGCAACCTATCAGGTCTGGCTACTGCAAGTTCGGCAGTTCAATATTTTCCACTTCCCTGGTGATACAGCGCTCTTCACCCACCACAGAGGGCCGCACGTTTGCCGGCTTTAGAGACCATATACCATTAATATGTGTGCTAGGCTCGACAACCGACCAACACGCTTTTAAGGAATCACGCTCCCTAGACTAGGTTACTCTGTGTATGACCGATATACGACATGTCTCAGGTGTGCACAACGCTTTCGCCGACGCACTGCCTCGTGTTCAATCGAAGCTTGCTGACGCCGGCACTGCGATCGAACTAGCAGACATGGCAGCCGCACTGTATAACGATCCCGAAGTTGCTTTATGATGTAAATCCTATTCACATGATATACTTCCTGTCCCGTTAACCTCAACAGTCAGCACTGTGCCTTGCGATGCATCGCTAGGCAAACAGCGCCCAGTCGTAGCATGCAAATAACAACAGGTAGTGTTTGAAACGCCCGTGGGCTACCTCATCCAGAAGTGCGTGCATCCCCTAAACTGATAGCCGCACGATTTCTTTGGTGGATGCTTGACTGAGGCGTCCGTACTTGGGCATCCGCTTGCACTGCATGTCAAACTGCGAAGATGTGTAGGCACACGAATGCCAGTAGGAACACTTGCAACGCCAGAGCACGTTTTATCCAAGTGCACGTCGATCTCGTAGGTTCTCTGCTGTCTTTGGAATGCTCTGTAAATTAACTGACCTGTGTCGGTCGATTCGCTAGCTGGCCGAAAGCTATTTCCATACCTAACTGCTCTTAGGAAACGGTTGCGAAAACTTTTCTAGGGCCCTGGATGGCTCAGTAAGACTGTCCCGCAAGCGTGACCACTGAACGACATTCACATATTTCGTCCACATTTGTCACATTACGGAAGGACTTAGACTGTCGTAACGACAAGACGACGGTTTATCGTCCGGCCGCTAACGGCATGGCGGTGAGTTTACACCGCCAGCCGAAGGCAGCGCTATATGCTCAATGCAGAGCCTGCTTTGCCCGAAACCTTTTCGCTTGTTCCACCTACGCTTAAGTAACCCTGGTAAGTCTGCCTTGGACTCAACACCAGCGCAGATAGTCTACGGCTGCAAGTTGTGTTTGCCTGGAAAACAATGGCCCCAGCCTCAGTAACATCTTTTTATGAGCACGCAGGTTACACCAACCGATTAGCACGCCATATGCACGAGCCATTTACACTCGCACGTTGCTCAAATGGGACACCATTATATGTGCCCGAGAAATTGTCTACGCATTCACCCGTCATCCCGCACTTAGATTAAATAAGTTCAGATTTGTAATTAAGTTGCTATTTGTAGGCCTGGTCGATTAAGGTTCCGAAAACCCAAGAGAACTTATGGAGTCCTTATGACCTTATTAATTATAAGCCAAAATTTAAAATGTCAGAAACTTTTCGAACGCGTGATTTCGTTTTGCTTTTGGCGTTTTCTGCTTGCCTATATGCGCTTTTCCTCGATACATGCTCCAATCATCCCCTGCGTCCGCCTGGTCCTTACGAGCAGGGTTTCCGAGGACTACGGCGGTTAAAAAGGATCCAGGGGTGAACGCGGGACATTTATTTGTGTGTTATGATGGATGCTTCGTGGGACGGCGGTTGTTTCGCCGTACGACATGAGTCGTTTTGGCGCAGCTGGGGTACGGTTGGGTGAGAGATAACTCGTAAGTTCACCAAATGACAGCAGCGGAGGTTGCGGTCCTGTCGGCGGTATTTTGGGCTAGCCATTTATCTTGCAGTCTGGCAAGCCCACTCTAACGGCTCACCGACATGCGCCCTGCAAGGCTATCAATAATTAATAAATCACAAACGGCATGGCGGATCCTAAGTGTCGGCTACATGGTTTTGCGAACACGAAGCGATTTACCGTTGGTTATATTGTTTCTGATTTTATGTACAAATAAAGTGGTCCGCAATTGTATCTCAGCGGCCCTGGTACTAACACCCCCATACGCTCATATTTACCCACCTCCGGATCAACAACTATGTCCGCAGTATGTCACGACACCACCGTTCGCCTTCGTCGCCACATTTGTTTTTGTTTATTTGTAACCTTCCCCGAGTACAAGCCGCTGTGTCCGTTTTTAATTACCTTCTGGTATCCGCGCTGAATTATGCGCATCGGATCGAAGTAGCGAGAGTGGTCGGCTCAGGCTAAAAGAAACAAAGTATTCGCGTTAGCACGGTTCAGAGTGATTGGAGAAAGCACGAAGGTAACGGGACGAAAATACATTGTGGTACACCGTTCTCGCGTGTAGGTTAAAAGCCACACCGGACGACGTGAGCTAGCTAGGGGAAAGATGTGAGAGGGCGGCGAGCTGGAGCGATTTGTTGAATCCAAACGTGGCGCCTTGTCTCAACTTCGCGTGTGTTTTGGTTCAGACAGGCCAATACAACCTAAGGTTAGCTTGTTGCAAACAACCTATGAGAGCACAAGAAGGTACCGTTGTTTAATATTTTGCACAACGTACTCAGAAAATCCGGAGGAATCTCCAGACTGCTACATCACACTAGTAATTTTGTCCTATCGTACCAGCACATGCAAGCCTCACATTGCATGCCTCACAATAGGCGTGAACGGTTTCGAACAATCGAGTGCTCAAAGTCAGCCGAAGTTTCACTGGGCATGGCGCACGTAGACACAGGTGTACATATCTTTTAAGACCGACATGGCTAGCTTACAAAATCAATTAAAAACGGCAATTTTTACCTAACGCCCTATCAGCAGAAACAAAAATGGATTAAACGGGTGCGAACCAAGCTATTAAAAGCAAAATTATCGCTTAAACTGGCTAAAGCACTGAAGGAAAATAAATGGATAAGTTCGGTAAATACCTGAAAATAGGTACACCCTCGTCAGCAATCCAGTAGTTATCTGCTTGAAGAGTATTAACAAATATCAAGCGCTCAACGCTATCCTTCCTGAAGACGTCCTTTGAAAGCAAAATACTTAAAACACAGCCCGCCCAAAAAGTTAGCTTACTGGCGAGCAAAATATTAAAACTTGCAGCCTACTTGATGCAACTCAAGGATTTGTTAGCCGATTGCTCAGGTGGTCTTGATGACACAAGAGTAGATCTTTCTCGTGTTTTACCGAACCGCTAGGTCAGGCGGGTAAAATGAAGTAGAATGAAAGGTCACTTTGACGTCTGCAACCTTTCTGAGGAAGAAAGAAAGGTACTTGTTTTCATTATCGCTTTTCACGTCATGTTTTTCCACTTTACCGTTGTTTATATTAACTTGTTACAGCTGGTATGATTTAGTTAGATTTAGTGTCCCCTTGATTTTCGCCCCTTTTAATATACCCAGCGTCATTGCTATTATCGTTGCATATTTTCTTCGCTTATTGTTATGCTTAATGCGCCGAAGTTCTGGCCTGTCGTCACTGCGCTCACACTTTCATCAATGGGTTTTTTCGTGTTTTGGGTCACTTACGGAGCCAGAAAGTAAAAAACCCAATAAATTCGATGATACACTTCTATGAGTAGTTAAATAACATTTTTCCACCGTCGTTCTTTGCATATAAGTCCTCACTTTTAATGAGTTTACTTTTATTCAACGCTAGCGACTCTTCGCACGTCTTGTGTGACGTTTTCTATGCCCCTGGCCTCCCTAATTGTCTACATTTTTGACTAATGTCGGTCAAGTCCATGTGCGACTGTGACAATATGGTAGCGAACTTCTTTGAGCTTCCTTCTCCCTCGGCTATACATCAACGGAATAAAGTGACAACGGATTGCTGACCTTGGATCACAGCATCTAAGTGCTTGGATTGCGCTAACGGCTTCTTCCAGATCAAAAGCCGTGCAATGCTCTCTTTGCGACGGGTAGAGAAAAATCGCCTGCATTGATATCGCTTTCGGATTTTATGAATGCTTCCAGCGAATCACCTCGGCTATCACTTTCCTTTGTGACCCATATCGAAGTGTGCTGAATGATAGGCGTATTTTGCACGGCTTTCTTGTGCTCGGTCTGCGGTCCACTCCTTGTTACAAAATCGAACGCACCGCAGTGAATTCTCCCGCTTCTGACTCTGCCACCCTTTTTGGTAATCGAAGCCCTCATGGTCGTTATCGGATAGTAGCAGTGTGCTTAAGACCTAAGCGGCATTAGTGAGTGAAAGCCTTGCGCCAACACCAGTTGGCTAGTCTGCGACTCTGCGGGAGGGAAAACTAAAAGCGTTTCTTAACCGAGAACCGAGTCGTCCTCTTCCGCTCTGAAGCTGGTCCTGGAAAATGCCCTCAAGAACAGTTTGCCCCATCCGAATCTGCTGCATTCTGTGGGCATTTAACCCCATCCACGTGATCTTTGTTTGATTATTATGAATGCTCCTTAGTCCAACAAGGTCTCTCCGTCTGAAAGCATGCTGCATAACCAAGAGTTCCCTAGGCGTATGGTCTTTTCGATGAAAATGATCCGGGAATACATATCTTTCTGCTTTTCGTCTCGGCACGAAGCCTGACGACGCCTCAATGTCCTTTGCCAAAACAAAGATGAATGTCGCCTTGTTCTGAGACGGACCCTGCGTCTTCTATGCACTGCGAGAACTCTCCTCTGAGGACCGGATCCGAATGACAGCTGCTGTCATTAAGCTACGGACACACCGAGCAAATGGTGAAAGTAACCTCCACATTGTTGGTTTTCGGATGATTCCAAAGACACGGAGAGTTCACTGAAGGCCAGTTTTTTCCGTCCTCTGGCAACTAGATTGAGGAATGGATTAATGATGATATGTGCTTAGCCTACGTAACAAATTTGATGTGATTCAGCTCCTTGCTTCTGACAGTCGCCCGGACCTAATGGCTTTCACAGGAACTTGGTTATCATCAGACGTCTTCGATTGAGTTGTATACTTCTGAGTATCACCTATATCGGGCCGATCGTTCTGGAGCGTGGTCTGGCGGTAGTGTGATCCTCTACTGGGAAGATCTAAGAGAACGTTTAGTGGAAGCACTCTTTACAGTGATAGTCATCTGAAATTCTTTGGTGCCGGATCCATGATGGATGCAAGTCTCTTTTGGTTGGTGTTGTCTAAAGAGCCTCTTCGGGTTCCGGGGCCAACTTGCTGAATTCTGTTAAGAAGCATGGTGGTGGCAGGGATTGGCTGATTCTGGGCGACTTTAACGCTGCTGGTCCCGATTGGGATTTTCTGCGGCGTTTTTTGACTTTGTTTTCTTTGAAACCGTCTTTGCATGTCATCTATTTCAGCATGTTTCATAGCCCATCAGGATAGGACCGGGTCAGTCGCCACACATCCTCGACCTTGTGCTCACACCGGCACACTCTGTTTCTGACTTGACTATTCTCCAGCCGCTGGGTACGAGCGATCACTGTGTGGTTTCCTTTTTCTGGATGCAACGTCTTGCCATCCATGACCCAAGGCTGTGCCATTGGAGTTTTTGGCGAGTCGATGCAGATCGTTTGAGAACTACTGCTGGCACTATGGACTGGAGTATACCTCAGCACTTAGACCCTGATAATTCCTGGAGTCTTTTGTATCCCAAGCTCATGTCACTCATTAAGCAAGTTGTCTCATTCACTGGAAGTAAACGTTCTGTCTAAAAGCCTCGGATTGATGGTGAATTAAAGTCCCTAACGAATCGACGACACACATTGTGGGACAAGTTCAAAGCTATGCAATCAATGTTAGGTTACTCCAAGTATAAAGCGGTCAGGATGCGCGAGAAAAAACAGCAGTATGAGCGTCGTTTAGCCGAGGAATCGATAACCGCAACCCAGCTTCTTTTCTCGTACCAGAAGCGTAATACCGAAGCTAGCAGTGGAATTCCTCTCCTCTTTTCCTCCAAAATGACATGCTTCATGCAAATGACGCAAAGACTCAGCTCTTGGCCTCGCAGTACTCCTCTGTCTTCTCGATTGAAGGACCGTTGCCTAACAGCCTTGTCCTTAAGCCCCTCTCCACTCTAGCGCATCTTGAAATCAGCACTGATTCAGTCACGAAACCTTCTGGAGTTAAATCCGAATTTCTCCCCGTATCTTGGTGGGCTTCACCCTCTGTTTCTCAAAACGGTAGCTGAGTACATCGCTGCACATCTTTTCCAAGTTTTTCAGCGATCTCTCGATGCAAAACGTCTTCCGCTTGCTTGGAAATTTGGTATCGTTAAGCTCATGTACAAAGGTCAGAATCGTCAGGATCTTAGGAACTATCGGCCAATTTGTTTAACATCTATACTGTATAAAATCATGGGGAGAATTCTCACGAGAGCTTTGAATCACCATTTTGATGACCTGAATGTCATCTCTCACGCGCAGCATGGCTTCCGGAGTGCACGCTCGTATGCCTCCAATCCGCTTGTAGCCAGAGAAAAACGAGCTAAGTCCTTGGATGCCGGCAATCCCCTGGACATCATCTTTGTCAACTTCAGAAAAGCATTTGATAAAGTCCCACACGAACGGCTTCTCCTTAAACTTCAGGGAATTAGTGTTTCTGGGGAGATTCTCTTCGATCGCCGATTTTTCGAATAGCCGTGGTATGAGTGTAAAACTTAATCTAACTTAATCCTAGCCCGTCCTGATGATCAGTGGAGTTCCGCAAGGCTCCGTCATCGGTCCTGCGTTGTTTGAAGTATTCCTCAATAACCTCCCATCAGAGCTCCGAGCGGAGTGCTTGCTATATGCTAAAGTTTAAAGCTATGACTAGAGATGTTCGAACTCGATGATGCTAATCGAATGCAAGCGACATTAAACCGGCCGCATAGCTGGGCATTGAAGTGGCAGTTGCCCATCATTTGTGACAAGTGCTCTGTCCTCTCTGTCGGTGCTCTGTACCCCTTCTGGGGTTTATCACCGTGGTTTGTTGTTCAGGAACGCTGCTTGTGAGAAAGACCTTGGTGTACTTATGTCTCCTGATTTGCGCACAATCCAGGACTCCTTGCGGGCGGTAGTGGCTGTTAATAGAACATTCTCTGCCATAAAGACATCCTTTTCTTGCATTACTCCTGAGATCTCCAGACTCCTTTTTATTTCCCATGCGCGCCCTATCCTCGAATATGGTTCACCTACTGTTTATTCTCTTACAAAGACCGAACATGTTCTCTTCGATAGGGTCCAACAGCGAGGATTGAAATCGATCTCAGTGATCCGGAATTTGTCCTACACTTAACGACTTCGAACGATGAACATGTTTTCCTTGGATTATCCTCGTCGCCGTGGCGATCTGATATACACCACACGCATACTGCGTGCGATGATGGGAAATGAACTGAAGAAGTTCTTTCAACTCAGAGTTGATAGTTCGACACGGGCTCACTCCTGGAAACTGTTTAAGCCGAGGAGGCTCCGAGTTCATTTTGATGTTGCCTTGTCCACCCGGGTAGTGAAGGAGTAGAACAATTTCTTTGAGCCAGTCGTCAGCGCACAGTGTGAGGAAAGTTTCAAACGACTGTTGGACTCCTATCTCCTGCGTAAGCAAAGATCGTGTTGTTTCCGCTGCGATCATGATGGTCCCCTGTGGAACGACGTTTCGCAAGGATCCGCGATGTCCTTGCTTTGAACGGGAAGTGAGGGAGCTGACACAGGATCTCCTTCTATTCTCTACCATTCCAATGAACTCCAGTATGATCATCGTGTGTGTTCCTTCTTCAGCGGGTCATTGAACAAGCAGTTGACAGAGGACTGAAATAGAGGTGGACCCAGAACAAATGCCGCATCACACCCTTACCAAGCAATTACTGCCCACGTATCCTGAACTAGCAGTCCTTGCTGAGCCGGGTACGTGAAGTAAGAAACATGGAACACTAAGATTTGAAGGCAAGGAAAGGATGAGAGCTAAACCAGCATAACTAAAGAGGAACTGAAAGCCGAGTATGGGTCAGTTTGGAAAACGGAAAGCTTTGGTGGTGGCAATTGCCACTCAAGGGTATCTAGCTGACGCGCAAAACCCTTAATCCTAGGTTCCCTAACCACATGTTATGGAAGCGAATTCCAGCACTCCATAACTCCGCGCGACAGGCGAGCTTCCTAGTCCGATCAGGCCACGATTCGTGCAGATACAATAGATGACCGCAGAGATTAGCTAACCTAGCGGGACTAAATAACCAAGACAAGTCTGGACCGATTTTACTCGTCAAAATACGGTAAATGAGAACCAAGTCCCCTATTATTTCTCGGTAGTTCATTGACTACATCCCCAAATTAAGCAAACGTTCGGGATGCGT